CAGGGGGATTGGGAAGTCAGGGATTACGGACTCGGACTCGAGAGCTAACACCCGGCTCTTACTGTCTGCAGCTCCAGCCACTGTGTAGCCTCCACAGACCCTGCCCCATCTGCTAGAGGCAGAGGGGGTGAAGCCAGTGTGAAGAGGAGCTGGTTACACTGATGAGGCTGCACTTTGCAAATAGAAGGTGCAACAGAAAGTGTTCTCTTATTACTAATTTTAGGCCAGTTGCTTGGTTCACACAGGTAGAGTCATCTGGGCAGCCTTCTGAGGAAGGGATCTGAGGGCTGGTGACACAGTCCTGTTAAAGATGCTCCTCCCTGTATGTAATCACAGCAAAAGGCAGTCGATGCCCTTGCCAGTTTCTGTGTTCTACATCATTTTACTGGTCTAAGGGCTTCTTAGAGTTAAGGCGGTAGAATGCTGTTTATCTGGCTCAGTACCTTAATAATGGCATGGCCCCTGCAGGCCCAAGTTAATGCTCCCTTAATCCTTACAGTTGGCACCACGAGCGAATGCTAAGAGAGCCTCCTGCGTGCTACCTGAATGAAAAGCAAGAATGGTCCTAAAACATAGTCTCCAGTTGGATAGTGCCCATTGACTTGTGGTTGTTAATAGGAATTATTATAATGGCTTTAGCCTTAGCTATAGACCTTGCTGTGAACTCAAAGTCATTTGACAGTTCCATAAGAACCACAGAATGTAAGAGCCACGTCCAAGCCCTTATGAGAGCCGAGGAAGAGCATAGAGGGGTAGGGACTTACCCAAGGCCACAAAATATAAGTGGTGGCAAAGCTGGTCCTAGAGCCCTGAGACCATGTGAGCTCTTTCCTGGGGCTTCCAGATGCAGTTGAGCGAGTTGTGATTTGTGCAACATGGGCGAGCCTGCACAGAAGCCCTAGCTCCCTCTTCTCCTGGTGTAGCCTCTTGACCACATGGCCAAATGACCAGGTTGGGTCTTTATATAAGAGAAGTGGCTGTAAGTCAAACGTGGCCCACTCCTCTTTTATGGGCAGTCTTCTCCGAACCCCCCCCCGCCCCCCCGGGCTCCAGTGGCACTCGGGGAGCTGTGCATAGCCTTACAGGGCTACTTCTGAGGGCAGGGTCTAGTTTTATTTACTTTGCATCCCTGAGTTAGTCTTTAGCAAATGCTCTCCTTAATATTCAGCTCAATAAGCACCCATTAGGTGCCTGATTTTGCTCGTTGCCAGCTCACTTCATAAAGCTTCAGGAGGCCTCAGTATTTATTGACCAAGGTGACCACTTTGTGGCAGTAGAAATAAGTCTGGATATGGAGTGGCTGAATGCGGAGACATCTCATGAAAAAAACAAAACAAACAAACAAAAAACCCCCAAAACGTACATTGATTGAATGCCAGTACCTTTCTAAGCACTCACTACAACCCCAAGAGGTAAATACTATTATTATCCCAATGTTGCTATGAGAAACCAAATATGGAGACCTTAGGTTGCACAACAGATGTTGGCTGCAGACCTCCATTGTGTGATTCTAGAGTCTAGACTGTGTGTTCTGAACTGCTGGGCTGTGGTGCCTACAGTGTTATTAAAGAGCAAAGTCTTCCCATGATTGCATTGCTCAGACAATTCAAGTTCAGTCATTTAAACACCAAAGCATCTCATTTTAGCCTAAAAATATTACATGTTTCTTATACAAGATACCTCAGGGTCACCATTCAGAAGTCACCCTCTGGACTATTGAGGTGTGTACGGAACTGAGTTCCCCTTCACAGGGTAACTCCAGAATTCTGTAATTTTTTATGCAACAAATATATTATTATTATTATTATTTTATGTTTTTTAAATTGTAAAGTAATACATGTTTATTTTATTAAGCTTAAAAAATACAGAAAATAAAGTATTTAAATGGAGGCCCCGTGGCCACTGGAAGAGATGGCTGATGAGGGAATCAGCTCCCTAAGGTTTCTCCTAATAACAATGTTTCCCCATTGGTTCACATAACATCTCTTGAGAGCTGTCTGCTCTTGCCTTTTTTCTCTCTGGAAACATCACCA